CCGTGACAGCATGCCCACAAAGAGATAGATCGAAATCTCCACCACAGTTTCCAAGAGAACATGCTACTGATGTCATTAAGACTTCTCAAGCCCAATCCTCCCCCTTCAAAAGGATAATATAATTTTCCCCATGATGTCCATTGCACATGTTTACTTTCTGTTGTATCTCCACATTAGAATTCATTAAGCAGTTTTTTCTAATCTGTTTTGCATGAAAATTGGTGGTTTAATGATTTGAAATGTGTGAAGGGATGTGGCAGCAAATGCCCTTAAATAATGTTAGTCTTGCTCCAGGAAATTAGGGGCCGTTCTCTTTGTATCTCAATTTTGTGTTTTGAGTTTTGAATTCATTTTGTATTTTGTGTTTTGAGTGTCTGTTTTGAAATTTCTGAAAATGCGTTCTTTTTGTCATTCTGAAAAACTGTTTTTGAAAACATAAAAATGGAAAACGCGCTTATTTTGAAATTTTGAGAATTTTTTTTAATAATATTTTATTCCAGAAATCTGATTATTCAATAAGTTTTAATAGTTTAATGTTAATATAATATTAAATAACATAGTTTAATAATTAACCACGTGACCTTTCTTCTCTGATTCTTAAGTGTTAAAAGCAGAAGTTACTGAACAAATGGAGTGACAAACAATCTGTCAAAGTACAAACAAATTCTGAGGATGCCATGAGGTGGCTCGACTGTCCTTGTGGGATTATTAAAGTCAGGAGACTAAATTATACATCAGTTGAATCGTCTATTCATGGACATGGACAGTTTTATTAGGAAGGATGATTTTGTGCAGTTTCAGATTATGAAATTTTATTCTTAACTCACTTGAGCATTTCATACCAGTTCGTTATGATGATTTCGGAATCTCCTTTTGAAAACAAGCATTTAACCTGTTAGAAAAAAAATACTTAAAAGTAACTTTTAAGCACTTGTGAAAACCCTTCAACGTTGATAACATCGCCATTCATGTAAACCCTTCAACATTGACAAACCCTAAAAAGTACGAAATGATTGAGCAAACAGAAATCTTGAAAGTCACAAAGTTTCACAAGAAAGGATCCGACTCCACTTAAAAACGCTCGGGCAAAGCCCAACCACACTTTTTCAACATAGTATACAAATCATTGTATAAGCCCCCTATTTGGTTTAGATAAAAATCAGATTTTTAGTAGATTTTGATAAAGTTGATGAAATGTGTGATTGAAAATTGATAAAAGTTATGGATCCGATGTGATTGAAAATGATTGATAAAGTTGATGAAATATGTGATTGAAAATCTTTCCTTATGACTACATTAGCTAATTCCAGTTGAATTGACTATTGAGAAATCATATAACCGCCCGTCGTCTTATGTTCTGTTATACAATGATTTGTATACTATGTTGAAAAAGTGTGGTTGGGCTTTGCCCGAGCGTTTTTAAGTGGAGTCGGATCCTTTCTTGTGAAATTTTGTGACTTTCAAGATTTCTGTTTGCTCAATCATTTCGTACTTTTTGGGGTTTGTCAATGTTGAAGGGTTTACATGAGTGGTGATTTTATCAACGTTGAAGGGTTTTCATAAGTGCTTAAAAGTTACTTTTAAGTATTTTTTTCCTAACAGGTTAAAAGCTTGTTTCCAAAAGGAGATTTCGAAATCATCACAACAAATTGGTATGAAATGCTCAAGTGAGTTAAGAATAAAATTTCATAATCTGAAACTGCACAAAATCATCATTCCTAATAAACTATCCATGTCCATGAATAGACGATTCAGCTCATGTATAATTTAGTCTCCTGGCTTTAACAATCCCACAAGGACAGTCGAGCCACCTCATGGCATCCTCAGAATTTGTTTGTACTTTGACAGACTGTTTATCGCTCCATTTGTTCAATAACTTCTGCTTTTAACACTTAAGAATCAGAGAAGAAAGGTTACGTGGTTAATCATTAAACTATGTTATTTAATATTATATTAACATTAAACTATTAAAACTTATTGAATAATCAGATTTCTGGAATAAAATATTATTAAAAAAAAATTCTCAAATTTTCAAAGTAAACGCGTTTTCCATTTTTATGTTTTCAGAAACAGTTTTTCAGAATGGCAAAAATAACGTATTTTCAGAAATTTCAAAACAGACACTCCAGACACAAAACACAAAATGAATTCAAAACTCAAAACACAAAATTGAGACAGAAAGAGAACAACCCCTTAGTATTTTATAGGAAGGACTTTTCCGAAAATTGTGTCTTCTCAATGATAATCTGCTTTTGCCTCCTAGAAAAGGGAGGGAGGGCGGGGGGTGAACGAGCTTTTACCTTTGTTAATGAGTTTTCCCCACAAGCTCCCTGATATTTCTGCGGTTTACCTCTCTTGTGTGGTTTGCAGGCTACTGCATATAGAGTGTGGTTTACCTAGTGCGCACTCACAATGGTCGAGCCTCCGCCCTTTCGGGGTGGTTGGGGCTCTGCGGCAAGTAGCGGCTGTGAATTCCTATGTCAACAAAAATAAGTTCATAATCTTGTTTTAGAGAGATTTTATGTCTACTTTTATATAAACTATTTTACACCTTTGTTGACATATGCTAAAAAGAGCCAAAATGTATGCCACCTCAGCACCGGTCAACAAAGGTGTAAGGAAAACAGTACAAGTAGCAAAGTCCTTAGTAATTATCGTCACACGTCTACAAAGCTCAAATGGGGTGTAGAGAGTGCGCCTCCATAAATAAACTTTCAGCCGTTATAATGGAAAGAGTAGGGGAATTGGGATCTCCTTATCTGAATCCTCTACTTGACTTGAAAAAAGCCAACCTGTTCTCCAGACAAGATAAGAGTGAACCAACAATTATCGACACATATCTTAAATTTTTCCTTCCATAGTTGATCAAAAACAAATTTGTCAAGGACTTCGAAAAGGAAATCCCAGGAAACTCTATTATATGTTTTGGTCATATCAAGTTTTCGGATCAGATTTCCTCCTCTAGCCTTTCTGTCTAGTTGGTGCATCATTTCTTGGTCCATTAAGATATTATCACATATATGTGTCCCTGGTGTAAAACTACTTTGGTTAGGGGAAATAACGGGATGCAGAATCTTATCGAGTTTGGTAGCAAGATTCTCGGTGATGACCTTGTTCAGAACACTTTAAATTTGGTTGCACACAATTTTAACTGTCAAAACATAAATCAAACCATTTCTACATAATTTGGTCTGTTCAAGTTTGGTCGCTTTTGAACCTAATTATTGACGAGTCCATGCTGATTGAAATCAACGGTTTCGATTTCGATTTCGTTTTGACAGTTGGAGATTTTCTTGTTCATTCCTAATGTGAATAGCCTAGGGCAATTTCCCATTTATCATTTAAGGTAGGGTATTAATTGGATTGACACACAATTGAATTGGTTACAAAGTTTGGGCATGGCATTGCGTGACCCTCTATACTTATAAGGTTGAGGCCTAGTAATGCACGTGAACAACTATTCGGTACCAAGATTTTGTCTAGAAGGCTTGATCTACGGGTTCTTGTTGACCATATTACAATTTGAAAATAAGGGTCTGTTTGGGTCGAATTAAAATCTGATTTTAATCTAAGTCAAAGTCAAACAATTAATATTAATCACATCTTTCATGTGTCCCATATCTTTTCAATCACACATTTTAAAAACTTCTATCACAATCTATTAAAAATCTAATTTTAATCCCCACCAAACACTCTCTAAATATAAAAAGAAGGGACAACGACTTTATTTTCGTTGTTTTCTAAAAATTGTACATAAGAATTATTCAGTATACAAATTTTAACTCTTAGCCGCGGTTTAGTGGGAATTAAAATCATATTTTTGGTAGATTTTGATAAAAGTTGATAAAATGTATGGTAGAAAAATTGTGAATCCAATATTTGATTAAAATTAATTGTTGACTTTGACTTAAATTAAAAATTTTGATTTTAATCCATATCAAACATGTGCTTAATTTGATCCGATCATAAACCTCCAAAATGAAAGGTGGTTAAATAATCTATATAACAGGTAACATATTAATGTCCAAATGTCACAAATCCAAAAGAACTGATCAAGTCATTGACACAACATCATATGTAACAGTTTACATGTAGTTTAAATCACATTGTAAAAAGTCCGTCAATTGAAGTTCAATTAAATAATCCGTCAATTCTCGTTGATATTTTGTTAAATTAAAAATTCGAACAAACCGCTAAATTAATTATAATTGAATTAGGTGGATGTTGGTGGCTATGAGAGAGGATGGCCGCGATGGATGTCGGTGGATAGATGTCGGTGGTGGGTGGATGTCGATAACCGTGGAAGTGGATGCTAGCGAGTCGATGGATGTAAGAGGGGATGAGAAGGGTGGATGTCGATGATTGGCTGAGATTGGAGAGACATTGGTCGAGTTTAAAGTTGCTTTTAAAAAAAGTAAATAAAATAAAAATCACTATTATACTGTATAACCAACAATATTTATATTTTAAGGCTTATTCTACTTGTACACATCAACTGTTATAAAGTACAAGTGACATTATGTAATTGATTGGTCAAGCATTGATATACTTGTAGGCTGTAGCAACTCATATTTTAAATCACAAAGTAATGAAATCAAATACTTATAAGAATCCCCAAACACATAATTGTCATAAGTCTGAACTAGCGTTTGTGGCTGCCAGCCATTCACAGAACCAAAGACAAGTTATCCTGAGTTCCAAACGAATTATTTGCTAATATTTCCTGACTTCCTAGTCAAGGTTGCCTTTTGGCAGTTGCAGAACCCAAAAGTGGAAAACTTGAGAGGCAAAAACTCAGGTATAATAATCACCTGCAAACCATGATTCACCCATTTTCCATCTCATCTTTCTGTCCACCCCACCTCCCAAAAACCCTCCCTACTTACCTTCCCACAATCACTGTTCCTTCTACTGATTTTCTTGTCAATAATTGTACAAGAAAAGTCACTTCCAATCAAATAAAAAAATGGGCCCTACAGATCCGTGATAATCCAACGGCGATGATTACTTCTCCGCCTGAAGATGTTGATACTGGAATGGAGTCAGCATCAAGCGTCGTGAGGAAGTTTTATCAGGGAATCAACTGCCGTGATTTGGCATCTGTGGAGACACTTATTGCTAATAATTGTGTGTATGAGGACCTTGTCTTCCCTCGACCATTTGTTGGCCGCGAGGTTAGCATTTAATTTTTCAATTTTAGCACTCTCTTGGGCTCGCTCAATTTTCAGTTATAGAGTGTGTTTGGCTAAGCTTAATGGAACTTGCTCTTAAGTAAGTTTACTAAACTTACAAGTAAGAATGTATGTTTGGATACGAGCTTACAAGTAGAACTGTCAAAATAAGTAGGATTTTTTTTAAACCTTAAAATTAAGAAAAAAGAATAGAATAATACTACTTGTATATAAGCTGTTACGTGCAGACGAGGTTTGGCTATAAAAGATACTGAAAATAAGTTTATTTCTAAGAGCGCGTTTGGCCTGGCTTTAATGCTGGCAGTATGAAGAGTCGTACTGCTAAAAAGATGCTCTTTCGACTTCTTTGGCATCCAAGGCAGGTCCAACATGCTCCTCTTATTACATTCTATGAGCTATTGAGGCAACGAGCCAGGCTGTCTAAAAATAATTCACGTAGCAGAGTCCAAATTTACTGGAGGAAAGACTTAGCTTCATGTTGCTGTTGTTTATGAGCTATTGGGGCACATTCAAATGAGTGTTCGACTCAAAATCCGTTATTAGTAACCACTAGATTGGATATACCAAACTGCAATAATTTTGAGCTCATGTATTCAAAAGTTAGAAAATGTTGAAATTAGAGTGATAGCTGAACTACTAATAGTGCACTAATTCCGGTTTATTTTGGAAGATTAAAAAGATGAAGAATAAGCGTGATAAGAATTCACACGAAAAGGCATCTAAAATTTAAATGATTACCATAAGTTCAAGATGTTGAGATTAAAATGATTCAAGTAAATTACTATTTTTTTTTCTTTATTTTATAAATGATAAGTTAGTTCCCAAAAAAATTGTGAGAAGAGGGTATTGTTTCTTCATTTTTGGAAAAGGAAGAAAGGATAGTGAAATGCTCCAACTTCCAAGCTCATGCAGTGGCAAAGTATCTTATTTTCTTTTATTCTGAAAATCAAAAGTTATGTTGTATAAAAAAATAATAAAAAAATAAAACTGAACATATGAAGATGGTTATCTATTTTCTCGGGGTTCATAAACATCATAGTATAATGCACAAATTAACCGAAGCATGTTCAATGTGGAATACCACCATTGCTAAAGAAATATCAGGGAACTTCACATATGCATTATGTAATCATCCTGAAGATTAACTAATTAACTATGCTGAACAGTCCAATATTTCAAAACTCTTCCAGTATGAAGAGAAATATATAGCCCCTGTTTGGTATTGTTTAAAAGCAAGATTTTAATTTCAATCAAAGTCAACAGTTAATTTTAACCACACATTTTATGGAATCCACAACTTTTCAATCACATATTTCATCAACTTTTATCAAAATCCGATTTTAATCCCCACCAAACAAGGGCATAATGGGCAGCATATAGGCAAAAACTAGATAGAAGAAACCTCCGTCCTAGTAGTTACTATAAAGAAGAAAACAGTTGAAAAACGGTAGCTTAGAAATGACGATATTAGGGAACAATTGGGAAATGTGTGAAAAGGGTAGGGATGTCAACTAGCCGAGCTGACTCGCAAGCCGAAACTTGAGGTTCGGGCTCGGCTTGAGTAAAAATGCTTCGAGTTTTTTTGACCCGAGCTTTTGCTCAACTAAAAAATCTAGGCTCCACCCAAGCTTTTGTCTCAGGCTTTATGGAGTCGAGTCGGCTTACGATTTTTTTTATTTTTTTATTAAATATGAGGTAGTGCCTGCTATTGCGGCAGCAGCTAATTACATGTAACTGGCTTTTAATTTTTTTATTGTTTTTTATGGCCGGCTCGCACGGGCCAAAAATAACCCGTGACACGAGCCGATGAGCCACACAAGCTGGCTCGGGCTCAGGCCAATGCCCCAAAATGAGGCTTGGTTCCACTGAGCCGCAAGCCGGGCCGAGTTATGGGCTGCCCGAGCCAACGATCCAAATTGACTCCCCTAGTAAAGGGGCACACCAATACATTAACTATCACTTGAAGAATATACGAGAATAAGGAGGCAGGTACTAGTTCTGTTAATGTGTGTAGGAATATAGAAACAGGTGGACAAGAATGTAGAGGCAGGTAACACTGCTGTGATATGGGTAAGAAACTATTGGAGTTGAACTCTTGCACTAGTTAACCGAAGATGTACATGAAAATAGTGTTACAATTTAGAGTGCATGTATTGACAAGTACGCCCTTGGTGTACAGGTGAAATGACATGGCCTAGGACAAATATCTGAGATTCTTTGCTCTGAGCTCCATTAAATATAAAGCAGTATGTCCTAGATATAAAATATGCTATTAGGGTTTAGGGTTAAACTAAAGGTTTATAAGAGCACAGATAATTTAACTTTTCAAGCAAATGCAGTTGAATTTGATGACAAAAGACAATGACTAAAAATCCATTACATACTGTGACTAAAATGAGCTACCGTATGAACTTAGAACAAAACTATATAACAGTGAACGAAATAGTCCTGCAAAGTTTTTATTTATCGTGTAGCGAGATATTAGAATGATAAAATAATGCTCAAGAACAATACACAAATTTTCCTTTTTTTTAGATACTTTCATTCACTAATGCCGTTAGTTCTGGTGAAATGAAGGAAAACGATAAGTTGAATATTACTTTTAATTATAAGATTTGAGAATTCTTTTTAAGCTATTGGGTATTAGTATTTTCTTTAATAAATATCCTGCTATTATTTCTACTTATGTCGTTTCTTCTACTTTGGAGCATTTCAGTTAATTCATTTGTTCCCTACTTAGGATAGGGCTTGTACGAACAAGGTTCTTGTGGGTTTTGGAACCTAATGGATTTGACATCTGAAATTTGTTGATTTTTCTCCGATAAACTCAGTGATTGGTTAAATTAATCTAGTGGACTTTCTTGGTCCATTGGTTCACAGTAGTAAATGTTTGCCTTACTTTTCTGCATTGAACATCAAGTGCATGCTCGCTATGCAATATTAAATTAGAGTGGGTAGTACAATGGACAAGATTTTAGTTCTCATTTCTGATTTAATCCACTTTACCAAATGTGCCATAACTGTTTGTGCAGGCAATCCTAGAATTCTTCAAGAAATTCACCGATTCAATCAGCACCAATTTGCAGTTTGTTATTGATGATATATCTGAGGAGGATACCTCAGCTGTTGGGGTAACTTGGCACTTGGGTAAGAAATAAGTTCATTTCTTTTTCCTCTAGTTGCTTTTTGATTAACTTCTCTTGCATATTGTCCAAAAATTTGCTGATAATATGAATGATTTAATAGAATGGAATGGAAAAACTTTTCCTTTCAGCAAGGGATGCAGCTTTTATCGGTTAGAAGTGGTAAACGGCCAGAGGCAAATAGTGTGAGTTTATTATTAAAACTATTGCACTTGAGTTCAATGCTCAACCATAATCTATAAAATTATCTGCAATGTTGGGTTATGTACGTGTTGAAGCCAGAGTTTTAGATAAATAAATATGCCCCCTCTGTACAACGTTTCTGCCATAAGTTTGTCTCTGGAGTAAATATATTCATGGTGAAAATTTACCGCTCTCTTGTCTCAATTTTATTATTTTGTAACTTGATGCCAAGATACTGATCTTAATCTCAATGACACAGTTATGGGAGAGACAGTGTTGAACCTGCTATCAAGCCTGGAGAGACAGCTCTGGTAAATGTTATCTTATCGCCTGTCTGCATTAGCATATTACCATAAAACTCCAAAAAAAAAAAAAAANTTATTAAAAAGCACTGGATTGGAATTGTTTATTGTTGGTAACAGAAATAAACTGGCATATTGATCGAGTGGTTTTGTTGTAATGGAATATAGTATTCTTTGAAATAAGAAAAGTCACAAGCCAAACTCTCCTCCCAGCTATGCGGTTTCCACTTTCTACTTTTTTTGGTAACTTCTTTAAATTCAAGAACCATTTGAACAGGATCTAGACAAACATGCTCTTTTTCTTTTACTGCTCTGATTCTTGATATCTGTATGTATATCCAGGTTGCTATCAGAGGTGTTGCTTGGCTGCTGCAAAAATTCCCAAACTTAGCAGACCAGTTATGACTGAAGCTTAAAATTGCTACTATTACATTCCAAAAATTGTTGAACGGAGTAGATATCAGCCTGTACAGCAAACAAAGATGGTGAAATAATAAAAAGGGGTACATGATTGAATTATTTGTGCTGCACATATGTTCATGGGTTCAAATTTAAGTAACAATAAGCACTACTTAATTGCAGTTATGTACATGATTGAATTATATCGAATCAATGGAAGACAATGTTTTTAGAAGAATTCACCATGATATATCTAATCCATGTATTATATCATGAAAAATGGATACAAAATTTTCAGCTTAGGATTCCACTCCATCTTTATTTCACCTTTATCGAGTTTGTGTGATTTTTTGATTTAGGGGTTTATTTAAATTTGAGACGTGTTCGCCGAAGCCTGGGCAACAAATTGGTGGGTTTGTGGGGTTTTGGAGAAGATTTTTTTGAAATGTGTGGTCGAAAAGTTGTGAGACCATGAAAGATGTGGTTAATATTGATTGTTTGACTTTGATTTGATTGTTTGATTTTGATTAAAATCAGATTTTAATCCGGACTAAAAAGTGTTACTTTATAATTAACATGTTGATCAAAATAGAAATCTCTACGAAAAGGTTCAAGACTGTGAAGTAACGTACAAAACATACTTCGAGGAATTATCATGTTTAAAAGTAACGGTGTTAGACGATGAGTATACTTTTGATTAAGAAGTTAAGAATAAAAGTGCAAATTAAACTATAGTTGAATGGTTAATTTATCCTTTCTAAAAAGAGATCGAAGTGTTTATTTGAGAGCCATAGCTTACTCTCCTAAGTCCTTTATCCAATTTTCTGTGGCCATGGAATTCACAGTTAAGCTCTCTTTCACACACACACACACACACACTTTCTCTCTTCTCTCTCTATCTCTAAGAACTCATGGCCAGTGCAGCACCCAAACTCACTACCGGCCTCTTCACCACCGTCGCATCTCCACCCCACCGCCGTAAACCACCGCTGCACCATCATCTGTCACCACTCATCTTCACAAAACCCACTGCCACCACCATTTCCGCTCATCGTAGAATTATCGTCACGTGCAAAGCCACTGACGTGTCATCTTCATCATCACCTGTGGCAAAGGAAGAGCCGGGGCCATTGTCGGCTGGGAATACCAACTGGGTCCCGGTGGTGCCACTGGCGGCGCTGCCGAAGGGAGAACGGCGCGTGATCATACAGGACGACGAAACCATATTGCTTTTATGGTACAAGGATGATGTGTTTGCTATAGAGAATAGGTCGCCTGCTGAGGGCGCCTACTCTGAAGGCTTGCTCAATGCTAAACTCACCCAGGTTAACTCTTTACCGTCCAATCTCTCTATTGTAATATCAAACGTAGACCCAATACTCAATATAGTATTAAAACAATTTGATTGTTCTAAATTTCAAAGAAGTAGTTAGATTTCAAGATTGGTGCTCTCAAACGAGCCAATTCTAGAAGTGATTCTTTGACTATGAAAAGTGTTCTATCTATGATGTGGGAAGTAAGTAGATTTCTCAAAACTGCCTTTCCGAATTGCTAGAAGGATCATTCTCGAATGTGTAGATGCGAATTTTATATCGGTAACTTTTATGTGTATAAATGCATTCTAGTTATAAATAGGATTGATGTTTCTAATTCGAGATTCAAGAATATACGATTATTGTATATTAATACTCAATTCGAATGGGGAGAGCAACACAAGTGTTGTGATGCTAGGCAAAACAGCAGGAATGCAGATAGATAGATAGATTGGTAGACTCACACCTATATACTCCTCTTAGTTTTGACCTTTGGGATAGTTACTTTTGCTAATTTGTCAACATTTATGTGTTTCCCTGCAACCATCCCATACCATGGATTTCTTGGTTCAAGAAATGAGACTGGGAAATTATTCAAATTAAGAACAGACATCTTTAAAAGTCTACATTAATGCCCAACATATGCTTATTCCCAAATTTCATGTATATTGTTGGTTTGCTATTGAAAATCTCTGCTTTGATGTACACTGTCTTCTATATCTTCATTACCCTTGTCCATTTTGTGATTATTGTTATTTCTATCCATTTACTTTAGTTTTCAAGTCATTTTGCTTTATGATAGGCATCACTGAGGTTCACCTCAATTGAATTTGGTTTCAGCCTTTATTTTTCACCAATACATAGTGACCACCTCAACCCCATGGCTAAAACTTTTGCGAAGAATTCAACATGCTAGTGCATGTTGGGAAGTTTTATTCGTTACCCTAGAAAGCAAATCTTGTTCAGCACCCGTCAATCCATCTTTAAGTGAGAGAGTTGAAAAATCTGGTTCAAGTAGGTTTCAATATGATGAGAGCCTCACAAATTCTAAGTTAGTTCCCTTCTCGCGATTTTGCCCATTACTTTTTGATAAGCAGCTTAGCTAACCTCATGGCAGTTCGCTCTCACTATTTTTTTCAATAGTGAAGATTAAATAAAAGATTCACAACTGTCAACATTAGGAGTAAGTTATGATGGAAGTTTGTTCAGGTTTAATTGTTAAGATACGAATACAAAATCCAACCAACTGCTCATTTAATTATCTCCTTGTCAAACCCTGTTTGCTGGATTTAAAACTCAATGCATCCATTTTAAGGCTGACTATTATTTATCAACTGGTATAACATTTTTTCTGAGGGGACTTCAGTGATGGAAAATTCCATCGGGGTCTCCAAGATTTTCTGGCAGTGGGAAAAATCCCCATATATTTGAATATAAAATTAGTAATGTAAAATATGGAGTAATAGTTTGCTTAACTCGCAAAATGCTACTAATTGGTATACTATCAATTCCTATCCAAACATGAACCATGTCGGTAGTGCTCAAATACATTTTTACATATTAAAAGTACAATAACTGAAGTTGATCTTTTGTGAAAGCGTAGAAAAAGATCTACTTATTTTCCCTAGTAATTGAGTCCTTGGTTGAAATAATAATGATTTACCAAAGCCTCTGTTATCAGGGAATATTGTGTTCTTAAACATCCTCAAGATTTTAGTCAAGTTGTTTCCTTTCACATTGTTGCGGCTAAAAATTGCTTCCTCAATTCCTTGCCCCATTTTGTCCTCCTTTCTTCTCAGGTGAGGCAATACGTGCAACAAAGGTGTGAGTTATTTTCCCATGCCTCTTTCGATGCTCAAGTATAATAACAATAATAATAATCATATATCTAGTGATATAATTTGACTGGAGAACGTAGGGACGTATTTAGTGCTTAAATTGAGTGCACATAAAGAACTTGTTATATTAAGATGGAAACTCTAATGTCTCGGATTTAGTCTCTGTAATTTTTATCTGTGACATATGTGATAGGCAAAAGCTTGCCTTATTCTTATAGAACAGTTTACAAAATTTTCTGCAGGATGGGTGTATTGTTTGTCCAACAACTGATAGCACTTTTGACCTACGAACTGGAGCCATCAAGGATTGGTATCCAAATAATCCCGTGCTGAGAGTCCTGACTCCCCCTTTAAGAAATTTATTCATCTACCCCGTGAAAACTGATGGAGAAAATATTTATATAAGCATTACCAGAGGTGCTCAATCTGATGCATCTGCAGAGAAACAAAAGTCGCCTTTCCGAGTTGGTGGTTTAACTGCAACAGATGTCAATGTTGATGAGGTAATTACTTGCTCAATGAGCAGTTTGGCTAAGCTTAAGAGTAACTTTTACTTTCCCATTTGTTACAATATGTTTGAAAGAATTTTTTTTTGGGTAATTCTCTTTTTTATTTAATTCTTGGCCAAACATGGTCTATATATCGTGAAACGGCTCCTGGAAAGCTATTACTAATATGCTGCTTCAACTTTTTTCTTCAGGTTAGAATGGTAGTCGATGAGGATCTTGAAGGTTTCGGTTTCACGGGGAAGAATGAATTGATAAATGGAAAGGCAGCAGTAATTGGCTTCTTATTGCTATTGGATTTCGAACTATTGACCGGTAAAGGACTCCTCAAAGGAACCGGTTTCTTGGACTTCATATATTCCGTTTCAGATGCTTTTAAGTAATTTCCGCTAAGGGCGATGTATTGGGTATGTGCAGGTTTAAGAAATAAAGTGGACGAGATTTTAATTCTTTTTTCTTTCTAAATACTGTTTAGTACTGTATGCCAAACATGTCGTAAACGTGTAATGAAAGAATGAATTCTGATTGCATAGAGATGATATCTTCAGTTCAAAAAATGTTACAAATGTCTCTTTTCCTCCTCGACTTGATTAAACTTTGGTTGTTTTTTGTTTAGAACATGTTACAAGAAATTGAACAAGATTGATCCCGGTATTCCGCTGTTTACCTCCTCCACAATGCTCTAGGGGTGGGGTGGTGGAGGGCCCTCAAGGTTGGGGTTCAACCTTTAAGATTGATCCATGTATAATATTATGGAATTATGAACTCGATCTCCAATAACAGAAGTTGAGCGTAAGGAGTTGATTCGGAATGTCATATCCATTTATTTAATACAACGTATTGTTTTTACATTTGTTTAACTTTTTAATAATTATTTTTTCTAATTTTATAACTACGATCTAACCCCTGGTTGGTTCAGATAAAAGAATTTATTATTTAAGTCAAAATCAGTAATTATTCTTTATTCGGTTGTGCTTCATGCTTATAATAGTTTATATAATTATTTACATATATATGATGTGGTAAGATATGATTGTGTTAGAATTTCTTCAATCAAATAATTTAAAAAAAAAAAAAAATCCTTTTCCGCACTCTTTCGACACACCATTTGTATGCAATTTTAACCATACATTTCATATGTAACCCAATTTTCCAACAACAAATTCTTTTAATTTTTAATCAAAATTTACTAAAATTTTAATTTTTTATCTAAACCAAACGTATGCATAATTAATTTATTACTATTTCAGTATTTCTATACTTTTATTTTATAATTAAAAAATAAAATAATTGAGTACAAGAAGGAATATTTATTATTTTTATGAAATTATTCCATAGAATGGATAAGGCAACAGGGAACGGAAAACAAGGGATTAAAAAACGATACAGAACGTAGAAATCGAAAAAAAAAAAAAAANGGCTGAGCAGAAAAGGATGTGGCAAAAGCTCTTCCCGTAGTGTCTGGAAGATTTGAATTTGATCCATTCAATGCTGACTGCATCCACGTATTATAGAAAATTCAAATATGGAATACATGAATGCTTTACAAATTTAATCAACTTTTTCCATCTTATCAACAGTAGAATACATCTGGAGTTTAAAAACAAAATTACTGTTGTATGGGAAACAATGGATACTAATCAAACTCAAGTTTTCTTTTGTCAAAAATTATCCCAACATTTGATGGTAACTAGGCACTTAACCAGGGATTTAAACAATAAATAGACTACACACTAAAGAAGAAAGAACTTACAGTGAGTATCCCCGACATTTTGCAGGATTTTTCAAAACAAAAGGCAAAAGGTAATTCTTCGTCTAGAGCAACCTTTTATTCATCTTGATTGCCACTCTAGGGATGCCCTGGAAAAGAAAAAAGTGAAACTATTATACAGAAAACAATACAACAAGATTCTCAATTTGAATGATCAGCCATTTCAATTATCTGGAAGTAACAAACTAACTGTGTAACTCATATGACACTATGGCAGGGTTGAATTATTATTTACAATCATCAAAACCGAAAGACTCGGGCTTAATCATGATAGACCTAGTTTTGCCCTCATGAGAATCAAATCCAAGTGAAATAATAATTTATTCAAGTGAAATAATAATTTACAATCATCACCACTCGCTACCACTTAACAAATCATTTACGAGAATCAAATCCAAGTGAAATGAAGCATTTATTTCCCCTGTATTTATTCCTCAATTGTAATTTATAAAAGCAAAAGAAACCTAATGTAAATTCAAACTCATTAAACTCCCATTCTCACGAAATGTCATTGCTATATTCAAAACTCAGAATCAATAACACAAAAACCTCATAAAAACTTAAAACTTCGTTCAATCAAACAAATAATTAAACATGTGCATGTTCATGTTAAACTCATAAACCCCTAAACCACACCCGAAAAGAAAAAACTTGCACACATTAATTTCAATCAACTAGTAACTCTACAAAAAAATGTGTATACGATCTCATTTACCTTTAAAAACCCGATAAATAGTGTTTAAATCGATTATAATCTAATCTACGAGCATTTTCAAGCGAGAGAGAGAGCGAGCGAGAGAGAGACGAGGCGCTGGGTCAGGGTGTGGCGTTGCGATATTAACCTCTGTAACTGATGCGATGGAAATTAGAGTTGTATACTGTGCTCGATTGCCGATCCTCTACAGTGCGTTAATTTACGCAATTTTTGCCATATATACTTTTGCTTGGGCTCAATTGTACATTTTACAATATATTTATAAGGTATTTAGCCCCTGTTTAGGCCACATAATTTTTTTTATTCACATTCTTTACTCATTTTCAATCACACATTTTTCAATAAAATAATATTTTTCATCACATCAATAACTTTTCCTTCATTTTCAACCACATATTCTCCATCATATCACTTCAAAAAAATGCATTCTTTCATTTTAATGTGCACCAAACATGCTCCAGCTTGATCTTGATTTTTCCCTAAAATCTCCTCTTTTCCCTTTTGTGTGCCCTTAGCGTCCAAATGAAATAAAAATGAAAAGGGAAGCGAAGGGAAAATGAAGAGAATGATACCCTATTTGCAGCTTGGATCTTCAGGTAATTGCGCATTAGGTCCTTCAACTATAATCTTGTACAGTTTAGTCATCATATTTTGATTTTCATTTCAATCAAGCCTTTCATAAATTGCAACCCAAGGTCCTTAAACTTTATAACTTGTGTGCTTAGATCTCCACTTCACAATTTTGTACTCTTTTAGTCCACTTTCCCTCCTTTTGCCCTGTTTTCACTTTCTTGGGTGATTTAGACCTATAAAAGCAATTATTATCTTGTGAGTAGAATTTCATCAACAATAGCTCGAATTAAATGGGCAATAAATATGTAAAATCACACATATCATCGCCTATAAATTTATTAAAAGAAGACTTAATTATTAAATTTAGAGTAAAAAGAAGATTCTAGAAATGATTTATTGCACGTGATAATATAGAAGGAGGAATAAAAAATAATAGAAGGAAGAATCTAGAAGAGTCAATTTGGAGGGCCCTCTCATTTTATATCTGTACACAAATTGTTTGAGACGGCACACCTGATGAAATGAAACCATTGACCTTGTCAACTTGGATTTCTTTCTATGGTTTTACCGAACTTCTCCCCAACCAAAATGTTAATATTAATTGCTACATTACATTTGACTATGGTCTAGTCAATTGAATTTGGATCGAATTTCATGTTTTTAATTGTTAAGTTTAAGAATTCGTGTGTTCTTGAATTTGTAATATAGAAAATCGCACTTCCGAAATTTCAATTTAAATGAAAAAAAAATGATTAAACTTCGATCTTTAATAACAAAAATGTGTTGATTTTCGTAAACTTTTCACTGGCATTCACGGACGCATGTTTTCACGTCAGGTTTTACGCATTAGTCTAATTAAGAAAGTCGAAGATAGCTTCATAACATTTAAGTATTATAAAATCACATGATGATTTAATAAAGACCTAGCTTTGTTATCCGTTATTATATTTAGCTTTGTTTATTGCCTATAAATTTATTAAAAGAAGACTTAATTATTAAATTTAGAGTAAAAAGAAGATCCGCGATACGATTTATTGCTTGTGATAATATACAAGGTGGAATAAAAAAATAATAAAAAGAAAATCTAGAAGAGTCAATTTGGAGGGTCCTCTCATTTATTTCCGTACATAAATAATTTGAGACGTCACACGTGATGAAATGAAACCATTGACCTTATCAACTTGGATTTCTTTCTATGATTTTACCAAACTTCTCCCAACCTAAATGTTTAGTCATAATACCGATATTAATTCTTTACCAAGAATGTTTTAAAACTAGATCTACACATTGATTCAAAAAAAAAAAAAAGTCAATGGTCAAAGGACCATATTGATTTTTTACAACAATTATTGTAACCATGTTTTAAATTTTAAACTTTTTAATTCAACTCGTTCTGGATATAACCAATCCGACTTTGATGACATCGTTCAAAAGAGTCTTATTCGACATACCTGAGCCTCTACTCAGATAGGTTCGAGTCAATATCAACTGTGTGTTTATATATTTTATTCCTTTCGTCTTCCTCTCATCATTTGATTATATATACACAAACTCGTAAAACTTCTTAATTCATGAAACTCAAATTCGTCAAGATTTTTGTATTTTGAGGGTAAAATATACATTTGGACAAAATATAAGTTTTAATGAAATTTCAAGTTGATCGTTAAAGTTTAAATCTTTAGAATCAAACTATATGTATTATACCGTGCTCTTTAAACGCTAACCTTAACTTGACTAACAAAGACTTAACAATAAAATGGGGAAATTTTTACGCTTTTGTTTGCCTTACACCAATATTGTCATGTTACTTTAGTTACTAATTTGGAAATTTTTTAACTTCAACGATCAATTTGAAATTTCATCAAAACTTTAGTGATAAAAAAAAAAGTGTATTTCACCGTCTTTGACAATTGATGAAAATTATACGAATTTAATGGAGAGAACCCTTTTGACTTTGATGTTTGATCTTTGAAATTCTAGACCCTACAGTCCCAAACCCACACGAAGAAATAAAAAGCACATGGTCAGCAGCCATCAAGTTCCTTTTGACTTATAGTTCTTCAACATATATAAGCACTTCTCTCCCCTCTCCCACATTATAAGTCACAAAAATCTCAAGAAAACTGCATTTTATCGATCATTTTAAGCAGGAAACTTGTACTTAAATGAGCAGCTCAGACAAATCTGAGAAGAAGTACAAAGGCATTCGACGTCGAAAATGGGGCAAATGGGTGTCTGAAATTCGAGTTCCGGGCACCCAAGATCGACTGTGGTTAGGATCTTACTCCACGCCGGAGGCTGCAGCAATAGCTCATGACACAGCCTTTTATTGTCTACGAGGAGGTTCGTCCACACAGGAAAATTTCAACTTCCCTTCGATGTTACCGGCTAGTGCTCGAATAGGAATGTCCCCAAGGTCGGTGCAAAGGGTCTCATCGGATGCTGGCATGGCGATTGACGCACAATTTTTAGCCTCAAGAAGTTCTGATAACGTGGAGAAAGTTGACCAAAATGGGATGAATTTTGGCCAAGATGATCAGGAACAATTGAGCATTTCGGTCGAAGATTATCTCTAATGGCCTTCGACACGATTAATTAGTATTGATTTTGAACAATAAAAATAAGTTGGATTTTTTTTTCTTATTATATTGTTTAGTTCTGTCTACTACAGTACCATGCTCGCTCGCTCGCTCTCTCTCTCTCTCTCTCATTGAAAATAGATTTCATTGAGAGAATTGGTTCAACAGACTGTTAAATAAGTTTTTATGATGATATTGGCAAGTTTGAAGAGAACCCTGTTTGTACTTGGCGGTTTATGATTTTGAGGTCTACGAACTTTGTTACATAGAAATTAGAAGCACAATTGACCATTAAATTTGACCCCTAGTCGAGCAGTCTCAACTGGATTCGAGTGGGGCAAATGATCAATTTTATTGAACTAGAAAAAGAAACTCCAATAAATCAATTTTGAGTTGGCTAAATTGGGAATCTCGGTAGAACTTCCCACCTTGCATGGGCAAAAAGAATGAACACGACAATACCATTAGAGCAATCTTGATTAGAATCGAGCTGAAAATTTGGTAACTTATCCAACTCGGCTCTATTCAACAATCTCAATTTTATAGAAAACATTCCATTTGATGCAGGCAATCCACTGCATAAAATCTACAATTTGGGAGTTTTTACATATTTTCCTTTTGATACCTTCACACTGGTAGACGAGGTTCTACTGTGTTTACTAGAATGGATAACATAAAAAATGCTAATATACCTCAACAATAGTATCGATCGAAGAATAAATTAAGGTGGGGAGATTTAGGTCGTTGGGACGTGTAAAGAGTTGTAGAACAGGTAAAAAGATAAAGAGGGAGACAAATTAACATGACATGTGGTGGATCTAGTTGATTTGGACCTTTCAGATGTAGCGTTGAATAGGAAATAATCTACATTTTTGTTGGAATTTTGCTTCCGATTCAAGGGAGTTTGCTTTCCAGCATGTTAAGGAGAAAAGAATGTGTTAGGCTTTGTGACAAAAATTCTATGTGATTGAGAAGTTTGTTGCATGAAGGAAACTTATTTAATCTTGGTTTAGAAGTCTTGGTTGATTGGATTCCATGTAATTTGAGATTTGGTTGATTGGAGGAAGTTTAAGGTATTTGAGTTTATAGAGTCCTAAGTTATGAAGATCAAATTTCCATAATAATTAGAAGTTTGATTTGAAAATTGACTTTTGGATGGCAAAAATGTATGTATTGGAATGTAACCTGAGACCTAGCGCCTAGGCACTACCATCACGACGCCTAAGCACTAAGAATTGAAGCAACAAGAAAAAGGAGGTAGGGAACTGGTTCCCAAGCGCCAGGTACATAGCGCCTGAGCGCTAGGTTAGGCGCTACGCCTGGCGCTACAAAAGTAGCACCTAGACGCTGTAACAGTAATTGATTGCGATTTTTCCGTTTTATTCGGATTTTGGGATTTCTTTTCCATCTTGGACTCTACCTCATCTACAATTTCGAGATTTGGCTTCTATAAATACTCCACAAGGTATATGCACTTCAAAAAGGTGAAAATGAAAGGCTCAAGAGAGATTATAACAATTAGATCATTATTGTATACATTAGAAATAAGAGAGAAACATTATAAACAAGAGAGAATTGTTTAGATTAGACTGAGATGATCAAAATCTTGTAAGACAATTGGTTGTTTCTTGGTATAATAAATTCTCCTCTTCCACAATTTTCTTGATTGTTGTGTGATCCATTAAATTTCAGATTGTCCATATTTTTCGTCTTTAATTATTTGGCTGGTTTCTCAACAAGTGATATCAAAATGTTTTTGATATCGAGTTGGTTCATAACAAGTGGTATCAGTGATATCAGAGCCAAGGTTTTTTGGTGGTTTCTTGAGACTTCCAAATTGATTATTAAAGCGAGGTTGGAACAATGTCGATTGTTCAGGGATGACAACTTTGAAATTCTGCTTTTGGATCGCAACGATAGATTTTCATCGTGGCAAATCAATATGCAAGCGGTTCTTGATCAATTGGATCTTAACGATGCTTTGTTGGGGATTGATAGAATATCTGCAACAATGACTGCAGAGGAGAAACAACGCAAGGATCGAAAATCTCTATCTCAGATACATCTTCATCTTTCTAATGAAATTCTTTAGAACATGGTAAAGGAGAAAAGTGCCGCTGCATTGTGGTTGAAGCTAGAGTAGTTTTGTATGACAAAGAGCTTGACAAGTAAGTTACACTTGAAGCATCGCTTGTATTCTCATTGCTTGATGGAATGTGGATCTTTAGAAGGTTATCTATTCGTGTTCAAGGAAATCATCACTAATTTGGAAACGATGGAGGTTAAGTATGATGAAGAGGATTTATGGCTGATATTGTTATGTTCGTTGCTGCCTTCACATATGGCTTTTAGAGATACCATTCTCTGTAGTTGGGATATTCTTACAACTGACGAGGTATATGAAGTGCTTTATTCTAAGGAGAAGATGAAGCATCCGGTCGTCAGTTCTGAGGCTCATGGAGAGGGTCTTGTTGTTCGTGAGAGGAACACGAGTAGTCATGGAAGGGATAGAGTCAAGGATAACAACAATGATATAGTCTGTTGGTATTGCAACAATAAGGGACACATGAATAGGGATTGCTATAAGTGGCGGAAGAGGTTTGCTACTATAGATCATGATGAACAATCAGAAAATTTCGATAATGTTAATCTTGCAGAAGAGAACGTTGATGGAGATTTGTTGGCGATTACTGAAGGTAACTCCAAATCTGATGAGAATTAGATTCTTGATTCTGCTCGCACTTTTCATATGTATTCAAACCAGGGTTGGTTTTCTTCATATGAAACAGTTACAAGGGGTTCCGTGTTGACGGTAAGCAATGAGCCTTGTGGAATAACTGCGATTGGTAACGTTAAAATGAAGATGTTGAATGGGACGATTAGAACACTTGGCCAGGTTCGACATGTTCCAAGTATAAACAGAAATTTGATCTCTTTGAGTACTCTTGATTCAAAAGGGTACAGGTATACTGGTGGAGGTAGAGTTCTGAAAGTTAGCAAGGGTGCTCGAGTTATGTTAAAGGGGTGGAGAAAGTCCCGGTTATATGTGTTGGAAGGTTCGGCGATCACGAAGGAAGCAATTGCAGCTTATGGTTTAGTAAGCGATAACTCGGGTAGAGTTGGTTGTAATCGGGTTGTTCGTGGTGATTTGGACTATAATATTGGGAAACCTTCTACTAGCTCAGGGGGATCTAGTTGTGATCTTCTTGATCATGGTGATTTGAGCAGGTTTGACAACTCAGGTGGAGTTGGGGCTGTTTGTAGTGGTTCAAGTAGGTTTATTGACTCGGCTGGAATTGGAAGTGAACGAGATGATTCAAGCAAGGATGGTGCGCAAGGTAGTTCTATTGATATGCAGGGCTTTAATGTAGTTTACAGTTGTTAAGTATGCCCAGAAGGGGCATGGCGTGCCCGATGGGGGCATGGTGTGTCCAGTTGGGACATGTGGAAGAGTTGGAGAATGACCTGAAGAGTAGAGATTTAATTCCTGATTACGCCTAAAGAATAATGCGGTAATTGTAGTGCAGTTTGGGGTGTCGTATCCACAGGGAGATGGATGAATGAATCATGGAGTTCAATAATTTAGGGTTCTAGTGAATTGATCGAAAATAATTTGTTTATTGAATTAAAAAGTAAATGTCATCGGATATAATGATGGATTTTAAGTCAACATGTAAAATAGTGAAGCGTCGGAATTTTCTCAACTGAATTGGATCAATCAACATCAATAATTCATACATTTTCTACTCAATTAGAAGTTTTTATCCTAACT